ATGGATGGATGGATGGATGGATGGATGGATGGATGGATGGATGGATGGATGGATGGATGGATGGATGGATGGATGGATGGATGGATGCTTTAACATATATTGTTTTCCATCTTAAGAAGTCATGGTGTAATGAATTCTTTGAAACACAAGATAATTATCCACAGGGTCTGTAAAAAGGATAATGATCCAGCAATAGAGCCAGATCAACACACATGTTTTACAAAATGAAAAGAATCAACTCTTTTCTCTGACCATCACTATCCGTAGCACTAAATCCTGCATACAACCTGTAGTTTGAAAATGCACAAAAACCTGTGAAGAGAAGAGACAGGAGTCAAGACTAAAGGGATTGTGGAAAAATGTATCTTTGTTTGTTTGTTTGTTTGTTTGTTTGTTTGTTTGTTTGTTTGTTTGTTTCTTTCTTTCTTTCCTTCTTTCTCTTTATTTGTTATTGTCCCTCCATCCTTTAATAGACATTCCATCTTTATATGTTACAGGATCACTCTCAATGGGATGAAGGTGTCCAGGCCAGACGTTCGCATCGGCCGCTACAGAATGATTAAGCATGAGAGGGACAAACACAATGAGCCAAACCCGCAGAGGTAATGCATCACTGTCGGAAGTTGATCTCCATTTTCACATTTGGATCGATACTGGTATTTTTGTTTCACACAGAAACACTTCAGTGGTTTCTTTTTGATGTTTGATTTTTGTTTAAAGAATTACAAACATATGACTACCTAAAAGCCATCAATGACACAACTTGATTAAGAGGTTTGCAATCTCTGCTCAGGACGTCAGTGAGGCAACAGTTATCAGTGGTAAATTGGTAAAGATACTACATTACATTTGTATGGTTTTAATGGGAACAGTTGCTTTTTCATTTTCAACAATGTCTGGTTTTCTAATCGCACCTAGAGACTGCCTGCTGTTAGTGCAGAACTCTAGCTGTTTGTTCCCTGAGAAGGTCCAGGAAAGAAACTGCATGAGAGGAGAAAAAATTCTCCCTTTGACAGGCTTTAGAGGTGTTAAAGTGTATCATTAAAGACTGCCATGCTCTCAGGTATTTAAGCCAGTAGGACGACAAAACACAGTATTTGGCTAGATCAGTCTGCTGACAGCATGGGTCTTGGGAGTTTGGAGGAACAAGCTGTTGAATGGAAGTTAGAAATGTTACCTTCTGCTTTTATTTGTGTGTTTTTTCACAGTTTTTTAAAGTAGTTTTGGCTTTTGTTTACTGTCTTGCATCTGTGCAGGCTCTAAAATATTCTATTACTGCAGCTTTTTATTCACCGAGGTGTCAAAGGTACTCACATTCTTTACCAGAGTAAATGTGCAGATACCTGTGAAAAAAAGAACACTGGAAAAAGTAGAAGTACCAACTGAACTCTTTTACACAAGTAAAAATATTCGATTCCTCCATGTCTTAGTTTTGGACTAGAAAAAGGGTGGCTTGTTTCCTTTGGTTTGAAAAAGAGTTCCTGCCTCAAGTCAAAGAGTTCAAGTATTTTAGGGCCCTGTTCACGAGTGAGGGCACAACTGAGCAGGAATCTATCTAAGACACCAGTCTTAGATAGTGAAGAGAGTGAGCAAAAAAGAAAAGCTCTTGTTTTACTGGTCGGTTTCACCTATGGTGACAAATCCTGGATCATGACTGAAAGAAAAAGATTCCAAATACAAGCAGCTGAAATTAGCGGTTGAGCACTCCTTTAGATATGGTGAGGTCATCTGGGAGAAGCTAGGAATAGAGCTGCTTCTCCTCCACATCGAGAGGCGTCAGCTGATGTGGCATGGACATCTTCTTTTGGATATCCCTGAGACGCCCTCTTAAGGATGTGTTCCAGGATGTCACACAGGGAGGAGGCCCAGGAGACAGGAGGACACTTTGGAGAGATTATATCTCTTGTCTGGCCTCAGTGCATTCACATTGAACGTGAAACCTGCAACAATTTCACCACTTTCAATACACAATATGCACAGCAGGTGAATGGGCATGGCCGGAAAAAGGCTTCTACCTTACTGAGTCTGCTGGTAGTTTAACCTCAACAGGGAGGACAGGGATTCAATGGAAAACTTGCATTGCTTTTTGTCTTTTTTCTTAAAAGCCTAACAAAGCGATCAGCATCCTTCATTTCACATAAGTTTCCAGAGGCAAAACCAGCATGGAAAATGCATGGCCATTGTCTGTTCTGGGGATAGGACCACAAAACACCCACAACCATCCACGAAAAGGATGCAGTAGGGAAACGTTTAAGAGATTCATCCTTTGTCTACAATATTTTCTCTATCTTACATTTTGATTTTAATAAGCTTGTCTCCTACCTCCTTCTCTGTGGGTCACAGCCACATCTACTCCCTGATGGGACTTCAAGATGGGAATGTAAACATAGTTCACATTTTTCAACCCCAATTTTAAAGAATTCGCCAAACTGACACTGTTTGCTAATTTTACAACTATCTCCTCACTCCACCTCAATTTGCCGCCCTTCAGAGCCACCCTCTATATAGAGATAACATGAAAATCCTTCACTCCGGCTGCAAAATTCATATGTGGTGTGAGCGTACCTTAAGAGGAAGACAACAACAAGGTTTCTACATTTTACATTGGTGCAAAAGAAATAAGTTTTGCCTCAAATGATACAATAATACTCTCACATAAAATAGGATACCTGATTTATGGCACTATAGAGCTCTTTTTTTCAAACTGGAAATGTGCATATATAAGCCGCACTGATATCTACTGAACTGTCCTCCACTAAACCTGTAGGGGGAGCTCTACATGTCACCCCTAGAGTCGGGACAACGAATATGATACGTAGCTCCCATTAGCTTGTTGGCTTGCGGACGTAAGAGCTTATAATGAAAGATGAGACTTTGACAGCTCTTTACTTGCTCTGCAAGAGTTGTGAACTGTCTTTTCAGTGATTTGACAGCTTTAATGAGGCAAATAAATTCCAAAATGTGTATTTCGGGACGATTGTTCTCAGTCTTGCCTGCTGCTCGCATATGCTTGTGCTCATTGAAAATTACCCCCTTATTTGATTTCCAACTTTGACTTCCGACCCCTGGCGGAAAATCCACAGAAAAGCATTAAAATTGAAATAGAACTGGAAACATTATCAATACATAAATATAAAATTAAATTAAAGGGGAATGGATTGAGATTTTTTTTTTTTATCTCAGATTGGGATCCATCATCTGTAATGGTTCCCAGCGTCTCTATCTTCATCCATGTTTTACTATAACCAAACTGTCTCTAACGGGATAGATTTTATTTTCAGTCTCAATTTACCCTCCATTTTGTTGCCACTACATCATACTATTATTAATATGTGTAGAAGTCATGAGCCAGTAAGGAGTTGTACAGTGAGTACAGATGCTAAAAAGGATTCAATAAATCCCCTTTTTCTGAGGATTTATGGTGCCTTCACCAAAAGACACTACAAGTTGATGAATTAATCAAGGTTAATCATTTTAAATGATTAATGATTGCCAGTAATAATTTCCTTCTTTATTGCTAAAAAAATTGATTTAAATATGACTAAACCATTCATTCAAAGATCACTTTAAGCACCTACAAGTCCTTGAAAAGGACCTTTCATACACTTTGATGTTTTTCACACTTTGTCATATTAGAAAAACCTACTTCAAAGTATTTTAGTAGTGGATGTTTTTGTAAATTACATCATTAAGCTACAAATGAATAAGCGCATCTTCCTGCAGACCTAGGCTCTGGCATTATGGTCACAGAAAGACAGGCATTGATATCTAGTCCAAGATAAAAATGTTGCTCATTTCACTTCTGTGATTGTTGAGTTTCAAACAAATGTGCAAAATACTTCCCCCATAAATGTGTTTTTTTTTACTTTTTGATGAATGAGAACCAATATGCAGAGATGAGCCCTTCTAGACACATTAATCACCAGGAGTATAGCACCTCACATTAAGCTGCTTAAATGCGGATTATCACTGTTTATTCTCCTCTAAGAGCCCTCGTTTTCATGCCTGGATAGGCCGGCCAATGAAGCCTCTCAGCGCGAAAATCGATAGCTGCTCTGGCTTAGTTTGAATAAAGATGTAGTGAAACTTGTCCCCAGACCCCCCCTTTTTCCAATATTGCTTTAATTTGATCTCCAGTGTCATGATTATGTCACAACATTTAGACACTTCTACGCTCCAGGACCAGAGTCCACAGTGAGTTCTGCTTTAGTCGTTGCTGCTAAATTGGTTTTTAAGAAGATTAACAACTGCTGGGAACAAGAATCATGAGTGAAAGCATATTGACTGTTTCCTGCAGCCAAACAAATTGTGGCTGCTCAATTTGAATTTTGCATATAGCCTCTGAACCTGGCTGTTGAGACGATATAACTTTTTTCTTATCAATTATTGTCTTGGGCAAGAGAGACGTTGGTGCAGAAAACAAAATAAAATTGTCAGACAAACAAAAAAAAAAAAAAAGAAAGAAACACCAGGAAGATCTGCAATGAATATATAAAGCACCTCTTTAATGAATTAACCACTTGTGAAAAACATCAAGGGCAAGTTTCTACTGCTCTTCTTAAAAGTAATTAGTTAAAGTATATATTTTTTTACCATGCTTTCAAATGCTAAAAAGAAATTGCTTGGTTGGCAACAAGATAAATCTGACAGAATTAATAGAATACTTTATATTTTAATAATTAGTTAAACCATTATTAGTTTAATATCTCAAACATTCCTTCCCCTAAACATATGTATACTTATATAGGTGCACTTATTCTCCACACAAACTAAGTGGTTTATATCTGTCTTGAAAGCAACACTGAGTAACTCTTGCCCCAAGTAATAGCTTAATTTGAGATATGTAAGATTAAGTGTTTCTGGTGGACAAACAGCACTTGGTGCCTATCAATTCTCTTGCATCCTGCCCTTCTTAAAAACTCACCTATGTAATTTGAGAGGATGAGATCAGTCATGTTACCTGGAGCGCTGATTTATAAAGCTCCCCCTATACAAAAGAGCTAATTTAGCTGTTTTTTTTTTTGTTTTTGTTTTTTTAGGCAACTAAACAGATGTAACAATTCATCAGACGTGTTCTCCATTCACTTATGAAGGATTTAATCTAAAGGTGTGAATGTGACCTTGCGTTTTTTTTTTTAACTCAATGATGTGTCAGTCTGCTGGTCCAAAGCGGTCAGCTATCAGAATCCAAGACACAGAAGGAGACTGTTTAATTTTACAACAGGGCAGCGTTACTGTTGCTTTCAGGCAAAAAGTGACAAATAGAATATTAATTGTTATTTGCTAACTCACCTTCTCCATTTATTGCCACTGCTGGTTGGCTAAATGTATATCCTGGGAAATTCTCAAAAGACCTACCCCAGTCCAGACTCTTGCACTCGTAAAGGCAAGGTCCTAAGAAAGTGAAATTAAATGGATAAATTTGTATTGAAGCAAGCCTTTAATAGCCCCAGGCTTCTGTAAAGATTAGGCTTCTCAAAGGTAATGTAAAAGGGGCTAGGGCTTTTTAAATAATCAAAAAAATTGTAAAGTCAGGCACTTAAATCAGCTCCCTTTATTCCGAATAATGCCACACAAAATGATTCAAAGACAGTTATTATCC